AAAAAAAAAAAAAAAAAAAAAGAATTATTATTACTGTTATTAGACCTACACCACTATACAGCGTCGACACGGTATTTTGTTAAAAAGGCGTCTATCGAATTTCAAACCTTTTCAGAAAGCAAGCGAAACGGTTTTTAAAGCGGCTTATCGCGGAAAACAACAATACAACTCGCACACGTAATAATAATACGTCGCATACGCAAAATGTGCATGTATTGTACATTGAATGTGATACGCGACCCTCTTAACAGATCAGTGTCGGTTCGATTATATCTAAAAAGGGCGCCTGGTTATCGTTGTCTCGTAGTTTTTCTGTTTTGATACCGAAAACCGCGCCACGAACAAAATCCACGATGGTTTCGTATATCGAGAACGCTGTCGAAACGTAATAGAACACAATAAGCGTAATGCACCGATGCACATTTGTAATGCAGCACCGTATACAGCGTTACAGCGATAAAAACTATTACTATTAACTACATTCATCGGTATAGTGCCCGACTGAATTTCGGTCGAATCGTCCGGTTTCGTTAAGATTCCTACGGAAAATAAGTTTTCGCCGTAACGATTCGGAACGTTTGGATATAACGTCGGCCGTTTTCAACATTTTAACGACCGTCGTAACCCGTCACGTACGGTGGCCGTGCAACGTCGATTTTTGTGAAAACGAGGCCGAGTCAAGAACTACACCGACATTCTAGGAAGGTAGTATATAATAACACGGTTCTTTTCATTAAAAAAAAAAAAACCAGACGTCTCGGGATAATGGGGACGGGTGCAGCCACTGTTATAGGTAATTTAATGTACACCTCTGAGCGATGATTAACCGTTTCTGACGAAAAAATGATTCTGAACAACGCGTTCAGTTGACAGTGTAGTTGCTTTGTCAACCACGTGTATGTCATATTTCGGTGAAATTCCAATTATTCCAAATTTCAAAATTAAAATTGGTTTTTCCTCAGTTTTTTTTTTTTTCGGTTTTTCACATTTGTTGAGAAAACTCTCGAGAAATTCGAAAAATGACTTCTTTACAGTACCCCTCCGGTGAAATTTTCTTTTAGACAAAGTGTTATTATTTTAAATCGGAGCGAAATTGCTGTTAAAAAAGATATACACAAAAAAAAGACCATAATATTTTTTTACTTATATCTACATTTCGTACATTTTCCGTTTTTCCGACATGCATCTCAGTTTTTCCTAGATATCACGAAAACTGCTTGGAAAATCAAAAAAAAAAAACGACCTCCTAAAAGGTACTAAAAAATAATACTATTTAGCGCATTTCGTCAACTCGACACCGAATGGCATGAATATTTCATTTTTGCGACTTGATACCTTTCTCGCGCGTTCGATAATACATGCGTATTATGTTATAATACGATCCCCTTTTGCACAAAAAACGGTCTTCTAAATAGTATTTTCGGAACGGCGATTTGAAACCTTTTGCACACGGACGAAAAAACGTTCGAGTACGACAATACAGCGATAACTGTAGCGTTTTCTCCCCCACCCCGGCCATCGAATCCGAACGAGTACCCCTAACTCGTGAGCCCGTCCGGAGCGGGTCCGAAGTCACCCGAGCTCGTCACGTCGTAATGCTGTCGCGGGTCCGACGGTCCGGAGTCCTCCGGAGATTTCCCGACTCGCTATTGATAGCACATTGATCCCCGTTGCAAAGGGGCGAGCGGGTTGACCGAATGCGTCTCGCGCGACGACCGGAAGAACGGAGTAATCGGCCCGCAGTCCGTCCGCCAGCCTTGACGAGCCTCGGTGGGCGATCCGCGACGCCGGGCAGACGCCCTGAAATTCGCACGCGTCAGCTTCGAAACGCTTATGAATCCGCGGCATCGCCGACGTCAAACGCCGCGGGAAGGCGCGTGCCGTCCGGAAAACCGCGCGTCGGCCCGAAAAGAAAAACCGATCGTACCGCCGCGAAGACGTTTTCGCCGACTGCGCGCGAAACGTCGGCCGAACGCCCGGCACCGATACCGCAGCACGGACGGCCGCGCGCTTTTCGCGTACGCGACGCATACGTACGTCGCGGTGGTCCGGCGGTTTTCCCGCGGAGGACGCGTCAACTCTATTACGGGGACGCCGAGCACTCGTAAAACGATAAGCCCGCAGTCGACGGCGCGCGCGGTACGAATCGCGACGACACCGCGTGTTTAAGAGGCGAATTTAACGGCCAATGCGTTTAAACGTTTCGGTAATCGTACCGAAACCGACAATAATCCAAATCAATTTCAGTCTACGCACGTATACCGCGATAGTCCGGGCGGAGGTTTTCGGTCTCTGCTCGCCCCCGCCCGTCGATTCGTGTATGTTAACACGGTGTGATTACGCACGCGTTTATCGCCCGACGTCTAGCCCGGTACCGCCTGCATTATCGCCGGTCTTATTATTATTAAAAATTCACATTCGGGGCGTGCGTTATCATTTCGCCTGGCCGCCGACCGTTAAAAACGCCAACGACGCACGAGAACTATTTCATCATTTATTATTAATTTCAAACATGTTTTGCCGAAGAGTTAAATTAAATTTCAATTTAATACTAGCGTAATATTATTACGATTATTATTATTATTATTATTATGTACTCGCATCATTGTGCCTGCGCCGTAACAATATCTACGGCTCGAGTACTCGTATTATTATATTTTCTTCGGGAGTGCAGTTTTACATATTAAAAATTAAATTCGATTCAATTTCCCGCGGAGGAACCGGCAGTAATAATAATATAAGATAAATATTTAAATATTAAATTGTACAATATGTATCGTACATTCGATTATAATATATAATTTATAATTGAATCGCATAGATGTATACGCGTTATAACGTATAGTTCCGTTCGGCTCCGAAATACAATAATAGGGCTGCGGATTTATTGTTAAACGCCCGAGTTAAAAAATAATAACAAATCTTCCTGTGTAACAGAAAAAAAAAAAAAAAAGTATTTATTTATAAACTCCGAGGATGTTTTATAACGGAGAGGATTTATCTGAATGCGATTTTTCATTAATGTTCGTCAGACAACCGTCGCCGCCGCCGCCTTGTCGTACTCCGATGTATTCTTTGATTGTAAACAAGAAAACGCGGGAACGTTGCTCGGCAGTCTGTGAAATGAGTATATACTTAAAGCTATTGTTGTACGCGAGGTAACAGCGCTCGGAGGAGATGTAGCAGATAATATAACAATAAAAATAAAATAAAAATTGAAATCGTTCTGCTCGACGCGAACGGCAGGAGACGAGAGAAGGCCACAGAGAAGTGAAAAAAAAAAAAAAAATAAATAAATACCAAATTCGAGTTGAAACTTTTTCGAACTATACGACGTTATTATTATAATAATTTTGTGCGGTTTACCGTCATGCCACAAAACGCAGCGATTTCCCGAAGTAAAACTTCTGCAGGGCGTACGCATTGAAAACGTTTCGTTTCGATATTACGGTTAAAAATTACGACGCTTTAAACGTGTCGGGTTAAAACAGGGAAACCGCGCGCGGATGCGTTCATATTAATATTCTTCTTATAGGTATTTAAGGGGCCATCGAGGCCCGTTACCGCGAACCGTGTACCCGTTTCCACCCGTACCGATCCCGGGTTAATACTTTTTCCGTCTCGTGGCAATCTGATCGTTTGCCTCTGATTTTTTGATTTTTGCTCGTACTACGTCCCGTTGTTTTAAACGGTTTTGCCGCTGTCGCCCGTACACATATTATATTCACGCCAAACGCACGCCGAACGTCGTGTTATTCTATATTGTAATTAACGCATTTAAAATGTCGAGCATAACGTAACGCGATAAATGTCGAAAACAATAAATGCGCCGGACAAGTGTACGAAAAACAAAACTCGCCGCCGAAAAACTACATCGTCCGTATTTTTTCGCTTCCGATATGATAATGTCGTGCGAGCGAACAAAAAAAAAAAAAAAAAAAACATTAATGGAATGCACGCGGATTTGAAACTACTAATAAATCCCTATCCGTTGCGCGTAAAAATGGAACGGTTTCGCACAATAATCCGATAACGTTTCGGCCGACGGAAAAACGTCACCGAGTCGTCCGCTCTCTTATTGTCCGAATAGAGTCGCTCCGTTTCAACTCGGTTGTTCATTGCGCGCGTTCATTATTTCGCCGCTTTTAAAAGTACGCTGCTCCGCGGTTATCGTGTTAATAGGCCGCCCCGTGTTATCAGTGTTATCACTCAGTGTTATCAGCATATCGCGTTATCCATATTGTTACATGTTTATTAACTCATAGCCCATTCGGCCCGACAAATTAATAATTCGTGTATATTTTTGTTGTGTTTCAGGTAATGGCAAACGAACATGAAACTGTACATTATCTATAGCCCATAGGACAGAAAAGAAGTTTCGGAATGTTTTCCATAAGTTATACACTCGCGGTATAGACGCGAAACACGGTTTGATAAAATAAATTATGAACACTTTTAAACACTTGGGTTTTCTGCGATTTAGATAATTGACGAGACTTGTTATAACGTGTAAACACGTCGTTTGCGCCTCGCCGTCATTGAGGACTGTCTATGACAGACGTCTTTGCGAAAAAAAAAAAACTCAGTCGCCGTTTTAAAAACGAAAATTTGAATAATATTGTCCTTGCGAACAACAATCCGTACTTAAGACTTCTGCGAAACGGACATTTTCGCCGGATAAGGTCCGTATATTATACGGGTTTTACAGATTCGCTGTAGTTTTATTTGTACTGTACAAAAAAAAAAAAAAGCTAATACAGCTGTTGGGTGCGTTACTGTTACTTAGGTGAGAAATCGGGAAGGCAGGATGTATAATGTTCTTAAATTTATATCCGTTGTCACGATAAACCATTACTGATGAAAAACGATCCTGAGCGAAGGTACTCGTATATTATACATGTTTTGGAAAGTCACAATTTTTCGATTTTGGTAAAACTTCGATTTTAAAACGCTTATGATAAAACTGTAACAATTTTTTGACAATTTTCCAATGTTTAGAAAATATTAATTTACTGTTAGAGTTTCAGATCTCTACGACAATTTTTAACCGATTTAAAACAAAAAAGCAAAATCAAAAATAACACCATTAATACCTTAAACTTTCCTTTATGTTCCCTATACGTTTTTTATAATTATTATGAAAACTAGTTGAAAAATCAAAAATACGAATTTCTTATTCACTAATGAGATCCAAAATTCTATGAAAAAGGTATCCGGTTGTTTTTCAATTGGATCGCCTTTCTGGTAGATAAGTCACTCAGACAAAAAAAAAAAAAAAATTAGAAAAGAAGTCGTGTAGCACACATCATAGTATAACCAATACATTCCTCGTTCCAGTTTGAATCCAAAACAGTTTTTAAATTTATAAGTCTTACGTGTCTACACGTTTATTCGGGGTTTATATGGTTCCCGACTTCGGGTAAATAAAAAAATCGACCCTCAAATTCGTTTCCGAAAAATGTATTACAGCTAAATGGGCGCCCGAAAATTCAAATCATTTCGACTCTTATATTCGCCAAAAATACACCGATTGTTCAGGCGGCCGAAAATATACAAATGTCGGATTCAAACGATTCCGCTGTTCACTGACCTAACAAATTTTCACATTTATTTCATAACATATGAACGTAATTTTCAATCGTATAGTTATATTTTACGATATTAATTATATTTTTAACATTTTTCCTACACATTTACACAGTTCTGTTGAACTGAATCCAATAACACGGTAACGTGATGAATCGTGTGTTATGACAGTGTAAACACTCTGGTACACCGCAAGTTTACCATTGATACCAATCGATTACAACAAACGTGTATTTATGTACACGTCCACATGTTTAGTTGAAACACGTCGGCACGCTAAACTTCTAAATAATTGATAGCATTTTGAAAATAAATATATTTTTGAAATTAAAACAATGCATAGAGAAGTCAACAGATACTTGTTAAGGGTAAAACGTTGATTAACTGTATTCCGGAGTCGGATCGACTGTAATTTTTATTTCGTTATAATATTTACAATCCAATATTGAACGCACGTGTCGAAGACGATTCGGCATTCTCATCGATTATGTTTTTTTTCCCCGTGATCAATCAACGCAATAAAATAAATCCGTTTATATATTTTTTCTTATAACATAGTACCGTAGGAACATTCGTTCGGTTTGCGGTGAAACCTCGATTGTCACGAGCTTATATTATGATTATAAAGATAATGATCGATAAAAAAGTTAATAAAAAAAAAAAATAGACGTCCTAGAATAATGGGGACGGGTGCAGCCACTGTTTTTGGTAATTTAACGTAAACCCGTTAGCAACGATAAACAATTGCTAAAAGAAAAGACCATTCTGAGCGGAGTTCAGTTAACAGTGATGCTTTGTCAACAAAATATACGCCATATTATAGGGAAATAATCAAATAGGCTCTATGTGTTTTCCATAATAATATTTGTTCGGTCCCATATACGAGAACGACGACCCCCCTTTTCCTGTGTCTACTGCGTGGTCTCCCAACCCACCCCGCAGCCTTCTGTTCTACCGCTGCTCTAACATCATCAACCACTCCTCCGCTCGCTAAAAAACAAAACCATCGTTTATCGTTTTAGGCACGAATTTATACAACCCGTTCAAGTGCACGTTTTTTTTTTTTTTTTTTTTTTTTTTT